GACTCCCCCTGTGGCCAGGCGCGCCGCCTCTTGGAAGTTTGCCCCCCGGGCTGTCACCAGGGTATCGTCTGCGTAACAGATTACACCCAGCCCGGGGGGGAAATCGGCGCGAAGGGCCCAGTCGAACCCTATGTTCCACAAGAGGGGTCCAAGAACAGACCCCTGTGGAACACCGCACGACATGGGCCGACACCTCAGATTACCTTCTCGGTCCTCGTACACGACGGTACGCTCCTCTAAATAGTCTGCCACTAGCCGCCTCAGGTACTTTGGCACCCCATGATAGTGGAGTGCTTCCCTGATGCAGCTGAATGGCAGACTATTGAATGCGTTGGCGATGTCTAATGACACCGCCAACAGCACGCCGCCACAGAAAACCAAATTGGGCGTCCGACAGATCGGGGCCCACATCGCAGAGGTGCCGGACGATGCGGGCAGAAAGAACCCTCTCAAACAATTTGCCCGCCTCGTCCAGCAGCCCGATGGGCCTATAGGCCGCGACCGAATCGGCAGGCCGTCCCGGCTTCCTCAATAGGACCAGCTTCCCGCTCTTCCAGCACTCAGGGAAGCGTCCCGACGCCAAGCTAGCGTCGAACACCTCCCCGAGGCGGTCTGCCATGTGGTTGAGGGCCAGGGCCAGCACTCGGGCCGGTACCCCGTCTGCCCAGGGGCGGTGTTCTTGGAACGGATCCGTAGAACAGCCGCCCCTACCTCCGAATCCCGGACGGGCGGAACATTATTCTCCCCGTGCTCCCCGTCGTTTCCGGCCAAGGAGGCCATCGCCGGGGGAGTGTGTTCCGCTCGTTGTGGGAAAAGGCCCTCAACCACTTCTCGCAGGAAGCTGGGCTGGAGAGTCTCCGTAAGGGGGGGGGCCTGACGCGCGGAGCTTTTGTCGCACCGCGCGGTAAGGGCGACCCCAGGGGTCACGATTAAGACCCTCCAGCATCTCCTGTCTCTTTTCTTCTTTGGCGCGGCTAATGGCCAGCTTCAGAGTTTTCCGCGCCCGTCGGTACTCCTCATGAAGCCGGTCCTCCTCACCGTCTCCACGGTGACGCCGCCGACTGCGCGTGTAGGACCTCCGGGCACGTGTACAGGCCGCACGGAGGTCCGCCAGCTCCTGGGACCACCAGTAGACCTCCTTCCTTGGAGGCCGACGACCTCGAATGCGGGGCATGGCCGCATCGCATATATGCGTAATCGCATCGCGAAAGCGACCAGCCCCCAAGTCGACCTCCTCGGTCGGAGCCTGAGGAGACAGCCTCGAGTGAATTATGGCTGCCTCCTCTAGTAGGTCCCGGTTCAGTCTGGCAACAGCCCACCGCGGAAAGCGGGATAAACGCCGCGCCACGTGACCCCTACTGGAGTCCTGGGTCCGGGAGAGCTCAAATCGGATATACAGGTGATCCGAGAGCGTCTCAACCTCTTCCAGGACACGCCAGTTCCTTACTCGTGCGGCGAGGGCAGGGGTAGCGAACGAGAGGTCCACTATCGACCCCCCCTGCTGTCGCACGCACGTGTTGGTGGAGCCTCTGTTGAGAAGACAGAGGCCCACCGAGGCCGCCCACTCCTCTACGGCCTCGCCCCTTGCGTCTGTCCTGGGGGAACCCCACGCAATGGACTTTGCGTTGAAGTCCCCCAGCACAAGGACGTGCCCAGACGCTAGTCGCCGTATCGAGGTCTCCAAGCTGGTTAGGAAAACCTCGAATTCGTTCAAACTCCGGTTGGGGGAGAAATAGACACCATATATGGTGATCCCCCCCCACTCGACGGCAACATATCCAGTGCCCTTGTGTCTTAGCGACAAGGGCGGGGAATGAGCCGTCGTGGAACCGACGACTGCCACGGAGCCGTCCCAGTCACCCATCCAGTTTGGACGGGGAGGGACAGAATAGGGCTCCGCGACTACGGCAACACCTATCGACCACTGTGCCATGGTTTGCAGGAAGCCAGGTTCAGGTTCGTCTGGACCAGGAGGCTGGAGACCCGATCCATTACTGGATCGTCTCTACAGCCTCCTCCATGGGCGACGACGTCGACGCACGAACTACATCGGAGGCAGCCTGGGTCGACTGGCTAGCCCCCGATGCTTGCTGAGAGTTGCGGGGAGGCTTGCAGCCCCCCTGCCCCATCTGGTGATTGGCGGGCTTATTACCCGCCGCACACACCGGGCAGTGAGGGGCGGCAGAGCATTCCACCGCCACATGCCCCAGTCGACCACACCGGAAACATAGTCCGCTGCAGTCGAAGCAGCTTTGGCACTTGACGCGCGTGTGCCCCGATGCTAGGCATTTGTAACACCTCATCGGTCTCGCCGCCAGGACTGTGATCCTAGCGCTCACGAAACCGATGAGCAGCCTGCCGGCGTCGGCCAATACTTTGGCCGACGCTACGGGACAGCTGACCCACACGGCGCCAAGCCCCCCTGGACCGGGGCGGATGGTGCCGACCCTGACGTAGTCCGCGCTGCACCCCGTCTTCTCCCGGATTACAGCGCGGACATCTTCGGCCGTCACAGAGTCGCCCAGGCCCGAGATGCGCAGCTCCGCGCACTTGGTAGGCCTGGCGATCTTGACACCATCTGTGGTCGCGAATAAACCCCGCAGCCTCTCAGCGAAAGTGTCCGCCGTCTTGGCGCCTTCAGCCCCTGGGAACTCGAGAACTCGAGCTCCCGTTTGGGCGAGGCGCATCCTGACCCCCACCGTCCCAAAGTCGTTGGCGAGGCTGTCCCGGGCCTTTTTAAAAACGGCCGCGTAGGACAACCCGCCGTCAGCCGCCTCCGGGGACACAGTCACCACTACAGCCGCGGTTTTGGGCGGCTGCAGCTTCCGCGGCCTCTTTGGAGAGGCCGTTGCCACCGGTGGCGAAGGCTGGGCTTGGGCTGCTTTTTGGGCAGCCCTTCTGGCCCGCCTTCGGGACTTCTTGGAGCCCCTCGCCTCCTGCCAGCCCTCGTTGGAGGGGGCAGGTGCGGAGGGGCCCGGCAGGGGTGTCGGAGTGGGGAGCGGAGGGAATGCCACTCCGCTCCTCGGCGCCGTTTTAGGCCCCGTCTTGGCCGGCACTTTGGCCTGCGCCTTGGCCGGCGCCTGGGCCGGTGCCTTGGCCCCCCTCCTCGGCTTTTGGGGAGCCGATGGAGTCGGGGCAGACGCCGCCGCCGCGTAGGAGACGCGGCCTCCCACTACGGGGAGCGCGGTCGGAGCGGCGGCCTTAGGCCGCTGTGCCGACGCGAGCGGGGGCAGTCTCGCCTCCAGGCCAGCCAGGCGTCCGTCCAGCATATTCCCAACTGCGATGAGGATTTCACGCAGTTGGGAGTCAAATGCCCCTGAGTTGGTGGTAGGGGCAGGCTGGGACGCGGACGGGGCTTCCCGCTCGGGGAGGTTCGCCTGGAAGCGGGCGAACTGAGCGCTCAGCTCGTTCACCCGCTCCGTCAGCCTCTCGTTGGCCACCTGCAGGCGAGAGACGTCGCCCGCTAGGCCCTCCACGACCTCCGACAAAGCGGAGGAGGAGTCCTTAAGGGCCCTCACAAACGAGCCCTTAAAGTTCACGGACTTGGTGGCCACCTTGTGAATGACGGCCACCGCCGCTTTCGCCCTTTCCTGCACGGACACGGGAGCCTGGGGGGCATTTCCCCCCACTGGCTCCCGAACCTTGAGCAGGAGATCCGCGATCTCCTCCTCCGCTACGGCCTCGCCGTCCACTCGTACGTTCCTGTAGGACTCCGCGTTTGAGAACGCGGAGCCTGACGGGGTCGAGACCGAGGCCGGTTTACGAGCCCTCCCTCGGCGGCTGCTTGCCACTTTTGGTGGCATCATTTCGCTGGACGTGTCGGTCTCCTCTTCCCTGGAGCGTCCGCGTTTCCGGCTGTCGCTCCGCTCCGCTTCCATGGCGTCCGCGCCATCCGATGAAACGGCGGATCCGGAACGCAAACGATCCGATGCTCTTCGGCTCCCAGAGACCAGCGTCAGACTGACTTCTGGGAGCCCCATCGAGATAGGCGTTCCCGACGCCACCTCACCATACAAACCCTATACCAACCCGTCTGACCAGCGTGATATAGTAGGTCAAAGTCTCATTTCTAAGGCGAGGCCTATGTCCAGCAGTGGGCTATTAAAGGCTGTTGATGATGATGATAAACTAAGCCGTATTTAGTTAACTTTTAATGCTTTACATAAAGATAGCTGATTCTATCCTATTATATCATAAACCAAAGGTAAATAAATGGCTGATCGAGCTATGCCTAAAACACTACATTATGTTAAAGAAGAAATTGTATCTTACTATTAAACCGTTATCTGGGTATATAATACGCCTAAACGCTTTGAATTAATGAAGTGAAGATTGTTGAAAAAGATGTGCGTTAGGAACCTCTGGAGGCGGTTCTAAGTAAAATACTGCATTATTAACTGGACTCAAAGTGACGTAACTGTTTACAAAATTTGCAAATCTGAATAAAAAGTCCTAATATCTGAGTATCAGAGCACATTTTACATTACAATGAAATTAAGAATCAAAACTTTTGGATATACCGAGACCTTGTATAAGGGAAACACGTGTAGAGGGTTATTTAAATAGTTGAAGGTCAGGTGTCAGATTTCAACGCCAATCAGGGTCTTTAAAGTCCGAATAAACCTGGATAGAATAAACACAACTGAAATTTTTCCTGTTCGTTCGAATAATATTTAAATCGTATAATAAAGAAATACAAAACGAGTAAATCAGTCATTTTAGGATTTTCGCCATAAAACTGTGTTTTCATTTTGAATTAGTGGGTATTTATAAGAACTTTTTGTTAAAGATACTCTATGTTGGTACTGCCGGATTTAGATTCGCAAAACCAGATTTTTGCAATGGTGGTTATGCCGATATTTCCTTAGTTTCACTATAATTTAACCACATGAAAAAAACCTCACATACTCCAAACATCAACGTTTTGCGAAGACAACTAGTTTGATAAGTTCCAATAAAATTATTTAGGGTGCGAACAAGCCACCAAGTTCAATATTAAAATGGTATTAAAAACCTACCAAGGTAAGTAACAATTTGAAAATATGTCTGAAAATAAATTAAATTTCCATGTTTCACTAAGTATTCGTATATAAATTTTACAAGTAGGTTCGTACTAGTCATTTCGATATATCGAAGATTTGATTTGAGCAGGAAAAGGCAGAGCTATCAATAAATATTTATGAGCCAAAGATACGAAAAACTTTGTGAACACGAGGGTAATCGATATTTCTAAACTTTGTTTCTTTTAACAATAAACGAAACATAATATTGAACGTATATAAATATTTGGAAGACTAACCATTGTCACATGTCAGCTAATTACAGTAGACTCCACACACACATATACTGGAAAATTACATGTACCTGTTACCTAAATAGCCTGTAACAGTGGGTCTGGTGATTAGTGGCCCTGACTGCTAAGCCAGATAGCCAGGTCGTGGGTTCCATTCCCAACAATGGTTGAGAATTGATCAAATATGAACAACAATGGTTGGGGATTGAAATTGAAAAAAATGAGCATGCTCATCACACACATCACACAGCATGCTCATTTTCTCTGTATCTGGGCATGATATATCTAGTGTTATCTATATATTTAATATTTTCGGACATCTGACACACAACGCCATCTAATTTCAAACTAAACACAGCCTGTACTATGAAAGCTAGATTGACTGATGGAATACTTACATCCTTTTTTTGTAAATACATACATATTATACATAGAAACACCCAAACTCCAAACATCGGACCAAACATTTGGTCGGACCAGGGAATCGAACCCAAGACCTCAGCACAGCAATTGCATACGCTACCGGCGCAGTCCTAGGCATACGCTACCGGCGCAGTCCTAGGCATACGCTACCGGCGCAGTCCTAGGCATACGCTACCGGCGCAGTCCTAGGCATACGCTACCGACGAGGCAGTCAAAATTTAGCTATTTATAATGTTTAAAAAAAATATAAATATGCAATCAGCAATCTATTTAGTTAACATAGTACAAGCTCTACATAGTTTGGGATCAAAGAGCTGTGTGTGCTATGGTTGTCAAGATTTTCGCTGAATACGTCATAACCTAAACCCAGATATACACAAACAAAGCAATTTGGTGTATTAATGACTATTCTCGTAAAACATTAACAACATAAGACATAAACACTGGCAGACTGTTTCGAATAGATGCTTAAGTTTTATTTTTTTCTTGTTTTTGACTGAAATAATATTAGTAAGGACGCAATAAAAAAAATACTATGGAGTATTTACAAATGGAAAATAGGCAATAAGCATGAACAGAACTATTTTATTTCGGTATTACTTAGATAAACTTTGTGAAACGAAAATCATGAATAGCTGATTTAGAAGTTAAATTTGGTGCTGGCTGTTTTTTTTTTTCATTAGAACTTTTTAAAATAAAATTAAACTTATTTGGAGAGAAAATGATACTCCTTCAGATTTCGTTTTTTTTTTGTGATTGTGTTAGATTTTTTTAGTATTAAAAGTTTCTTTGCAGCAACAGTAACTTTAAATTAAACTATCGCCAACCGTAAAAAACAATATGCTCTTCATCTTCCTATCTTACCCACCTTCAATTGTATTAGACTCGTAATTTTCCCATTCCCATAATAATATATCCTAAAGTGGCCGTTTGATGGTAATAAGTTTGCCTCCTAATACATCATCAACAACCCTTAACATTCCGTATTTTGAATCCGTCACTACAAAATTGTAACTAAAATTATAGTTGGCAACATATGGCTGTTTAACACCCCTCCTTTTTTTTTTTTTCGTGCGGAAATCCCCTCGGATACCACGGTGGCATGTTGGACACGAACCGACTAAAACCGCACGCCGTCTCGGGTACTAATAGCCGGGGAACCAGGTATACCCTAGAAAGGAAGTCCCTGGTGCCCCGACATACCTCGGGCCATCTACAGACGAGTACACGACCTTCCTTCGTCTACCCCTCCGGGGATACAGACGGAACTACAAATTTGTATATTTATAAGAAGTAGGTACTGAAGTGATGGAAGTATTACGAGATGAACAATCAAAACAACACTTACATCGCAAAACCGTATTTAACTTGCCGTTAGTACCGCCTTAGCCATTAATTTTTGTTCAACTTTGTGTTACTTTTACGACCCTGTTTTATGTTTCTGTGACCCTAAAACTCGCTTTAGATGTTTATGAAGCGAGTTCAAATTAATGTGAGCCGATATTGTTTTTGTAATCAACAGTTTTTTTCTTCTTCTTCGTAACATTCATTAAAAGTTTGCAAAACAAAATTTATCGGGGAATATTTTATTACTTTTATACTTTCTGTCTGTCTGAAATTAAAGTCCTCCTTTAATGTTGTTTTTATAACTGAATATTTAAATTCATCATTCATGACCGGTGTAGTTTTTTACTTATAAAATAAGTTTTTAAGAGAAAGGAGACCTTCGACAAAGAAATATTTTTACGTTTCAATCACTCCCACATTTTACACTGGATTACGTACGATTACGTAGTCCGCAGACACGTAATCCTACAAATAGATTGCTTTCCTCTAGAATAAAAGATGTTATTCTCTGTAAAATCATTTTAGTTCCTAGGTATTTTGTCACCATTATTAGGGTTCCGTACCTCAAAAGGTAAAAAAGGAAACGTTATGAGATCACTTTCTTGTTGTTGTTGCTGTAAGACCTTGTTTTTAACCAAAATTGACAATTCTAAGTCAACCTGAAGTACCCTAAAGGTTTTGGGTCGAAAACCTATATGTTAGTTCCCGTTGACCTAGAATCACGAAATTTGGCAAAAAGAAACGTCTACAGCACAAATAAAGGAATAATTCCAAAAAAAAAGTTGAAAATTAAGATAAAGTACTTACAAATTTTCTGAAAACTACGTATAATCTGGGCAGGTACGGAACCCTCTGTTTTTTATTAATCTGCACACACAATTATGCTGCTCTCCAAAATATGAAGTCTTAGTTAATGTGCATTTAAAATCGTCTATTGTTTATTTCTTTAAAGAAACCTTCATAAACATAATATAAATATTAAAATAGTTTAAAATATTTAGGGTGCTTTATTTCATTGTAGATATTAAGAAAGTAAACTATTAGGTTAAAATTTTTCTATATAAATACTTTTTATACTGTACAGCAATGAAGGTAGATATATGTGTGCACAACATAAAGTTTGACAATGTCTCAGTAAATTTATCAACGTAATTCACAAAATACAAGAAAGCAATCTTCGTTCATAATTCAACGTAACAGACGTGTTAATTAATTTGCTTATGAAGACTAATTAACTGCTCTGTTGTAAAATGTTAAGTAACTTGGCGTTGTATAAGTTTTCTAAGCCTACGGCAAGATTTACTAGAAGGATAGTTGTTTAGGTTCTGAAAATATTCATATTTCCTTTAGACAATCGTAAACAACAGTTATAGAACATTCGTTTGAAAACTAGATATAAATAGTTTTGGACTCGTTTGACAGACTGTTGCTTTGTGTCAGCGATTGCAATGACTGTGTAAAATAAATTTATAAAAGACAAAGCACAAGGCTTTTTTATTTTTTTGTTAAAGCTCACAGTAAATGTGACAGCCACAAAAGACAAAAGGCGGAACCTATTCGACACTGAAGCGGTTTCTGGAGAACATAACTTTTTTGATCAGGCAATCCTTTTGAGCTTATTGTGTACAAAAAAAAAAACTATATTTTTATTTTTGATATTCAGTGGTTTTTATAGTAGCTACTCGTGTATCCACCAGTTCATTCACGTACACATAGAATAACGATAATACGTTGTTCATGAAAAGAGTAACAATTCCATGTGAAAATATGGATTTTCCAGGTCAAGGAAGGTTTTTATAAAATACCATTATAGTATTTTTCCGTGTGGTGACGGATTAAGAATACAGAGTGTCACTACCCCTATTCATTCCGTGGGTGTCGTAAGAGGCGACTAAGGAAGCAAACTACGCAGGACAACAGCACTGCAGAGAGAAGGAAAACTTGAAACAAACCCTATACCAACCCGTCTGGCCAGCGTGGTATAGTAGGCTAAAACCTCCTTCGTAAGGAGAGGCCTATGTCCAGCAGTGGACTAGTAAAGGCTGTTGATGATGATTATAGTACTTTAACCGTTTTGAACCAGATGTGTATACAAATATTTTTGATTACTTACGTTTACGAAAGAGCGGGTTTTTTTATTAGAGACCTTCCCCCAAATTCTATATAAATTGTCTGCCCTCCTCGCCCTGTCTATAACCTGCCCGCCATGAGTAATTTATAATAATAATTGGGTTATAATTATGTATTTTTGTTTACCTGTGTTGATGTATATTTTCTAAATAAAGAAGCCGCAACATACTAAACATACGTTGTATTTAATTGCCTAAAATAAATCATTGTACCTAGACATAAATATCATATATGAGGTTATTGTGTTCATATCTTTGCTTCCTTCATTTGTGTCTAATGTATAAAAAAGAATTTTTCTAATATAATATAAAATATAAAAAAAATATAATATAAAAAAATATAAATAAAATCTACTCTCCAAGCAAATAAAACTATTATAAATTTTGTTCCAGTCACCTTTTGGATCCTTGCCCTCGATCATGACTTGCGACTTGTACGTGGAGAGTTGGCGTATGTGGCACTCAAAGATCCTGCAGGCACCAAAGTTGCTATATGGGATCAGCTTTCTATGGATGAAGGTGAGTCATTTTAATTATGTTTATGGAATTGCAGTAACCGATGTGAGCGCTTGACCACGATCTGTTGAATACGGTTAGTAACGTTACATTATATCGTACAAATATAATTGTGATTAGAGACGTATTTTACCTGTACAGACTCGGTAGTTTCAAATCAAAAACCAACCTCATACTGACTTTTTCTTAGACTGTTGCTACAGAAGCCAAATTACTAGCTACGCTAACATTACACAACAAATAAATTTACTAGTACCAAAAAAAAGTAAATAAAATTAATAATATTTTCATGTATGTAAATTTTGGAAAAAGTAATAGTCGGTAGGTGTAAGGTCTGGTGAGTACCAAGCAACCAGCTTTGGTCAATCGGTCGTCCCCACTGCTCCTTCACGACAACCCGCGACCCCATACTGCGCAACAGACAGTCTCCAAGCTGCAAGAGCTGGGGTTGGAAGCTCTCCCTCATCCGCCATACTCACCAGACCTTGCACTAACCGACTATTACTTTTTCCAAAATTTAGACAACTTTTTAGTGGGTAAAAAATTCAATTCCCGAGAGGCAGTACAAAATGCCTTTGAAGAGTTTGTTGCCTCCCGTCCAGCTGATTTTTACAAGAAGGGCATCAATAAACCGCCAATGCGTTGGCAAAGATGCGTCGATTGCATGAGTGATTACTTCGAATAACACAAATAAAATAGTTTGAAAAAATAAGTACTTTCACTTATTGCATACAAAACGCCAATTTCATAGGTAAAGGCCTATTATATTGATTAGAAATTAACAGTTTTACGAGGAAAGTATACCATGCAAAGAAAATATTTTTTCTCACAAAAGGGACTCTATTAAACATTGTAAAGCAGGAAATACTAATAGTAATAACTTTAATTTTATTACGAGGGAGCGTTTTTATGTTCGCGGAATGGGGGATAAGGGGTGGAAATAAAAAAACCAAATTATTTTTCCTTTTCAATATATTCACCTGCAAGACGGATACATTTTTAGATCTCTCAATTAATTTGTTTATACGCTCATAAAAAAAAATTCTCTTTGTCTTCAAAATACGCCAAAACTGCCTCCTTGACTTCATCATCGTTGGTAATTTTTTTACCCTGCAGCTCTTTTTTCATTTTTGGAAACAGGTAACAATCGCTGGGGGCCAGGTCTGGGCTGTAGGGTGGGTGATTCAAAATATCGAAGCCCACCTTATCTTATATATCTTAAGCCCATATTATGCAGGGCAGCCAACGCAACGCGGCTCTTGTGGACGGGCGCGTTGTCGTGCAAAAGCAACACACCTTCTGTCAATTTTCCCCGTATTTTCTCTTTAATGGCTTCTTTGAATATTGAAGCGTAGTATTCTCCGGTTATAGAAACACCTTTATCTTTATAATCGATCAATAATATTCCTTCTGAGTCCCAAAAGACCGTTGCCATGAGTTTCCCAGCTGACTGTGACACCTTAAACTTCATGGGAGGTGCTGTGCCATTTTTATGCAACTGCATGGAGTCTTGTTTCGACTCAGGTTCATAATGATGAACCCAAGTTTCGTCTCCAGTAACAATTCTACTCAATACAGCATCCTTGTCTTCATTACAAAGGTCTAAAAATGCACGTGAACACTCTAGGCGCTGTTGTTTTTGAGTCGGCGTGAGCATTCTCGGCACCCATCTTGCACTGACCTTTGTCATGCCAAAATGATCGTGCAGAATTCTAAAAATGGTTGTATCAGATACTCCAACCATTTCTGCGAGTTGTTTCTTCTTTAGTCGAGCATCGTCCAGTATAACTTTTTCGACTTTTTGGATAAGTTCTGGCGTGATCACCTCGATGCTCCTGCCCGGCCTCGGGTCGTCTTCAAGGGATTCCCTTCCTTGTTTAAATAAACTGTGCCATTTGTACACCATGGTTTTTCCTGGACAAGAGTCGCCGTAAACCAATGACATCTCATTCATTATGGTCGCAACTGATTTTCCTTGCTTGGTAAGGAACTTTATAACGGCATGATATTCGATTTTTTTCCATGTTTTACTTTTCACTCCCGATTATGTTGCTTGGTTGACGATAATCAAAGACTAATTGTCTAATAACAATGAAACCTTATATTTATACTAATTATGAGTCACTGAACACGTGACGATTTTAATGAGCCTAATCACCCCCCTCCGTTTTTAAGTTCGCGGAATGAGAGGGTTCTCATTCCGCGAACTTAAAAACGCACCCTCGTATTAATTGACTATTATATAAAATTAATTAGTATTATATTACTATTATAATATGTGCACGAACACTGTTATAAAGATAGTACAAATATTGTCGAATATGTCTTATAACTAAATACAAAAGTTTTTTTATAAACAATATATTTTTTCTACGCTTCATTTATTGTCTAATGTAATTCTTTAGTATATGTCGTTAATAATTACGTAACCCCTGAATTACTGTATGTAAATAGTTGTATACTCAAGACAAACAAATTTAAACAAATAGTAGTCAAGAAGGACTGTCCCAGGACACATACGGTCACGTAAATTCTCTAACGTACGTTGTGTATAAATAGTACCTCAGTAGAGGTGATCCGGTCCCCTAAAAGCGTTGTCTTGTAAGTCACCGTCGGGTCGAGATAGTACCATTTGACAGATTCAATTTCCTCTTACAAAATGTTTAAATATGTAATATTGGGTAAATAGAACTGGGTTTCGTAGTTTAATATAACTCTTAAAGTAAATATTATACATCTATACTAATATTATAAAGCTGAAGAGTTTGTTTGTTTGTTTGTTTGTTTGTTTGTTTGAACGCACTAATCTCAGGAACTACTGGTCCGATTTGAAAAATTCTTTCAGTGTTAGATAGCCCATTTATCGAGGAAGGCTATAGGCTATATATCATCACGCTAAGACCAATAGGAGCGGAGCACCAATGAAGAATGTTTCCAAAACGGAGAAAATTTACTACTATTGAGAGACGCAGACGAAGTTGCGCGGTTCAGCTAGTTATTTATACAAAGGGATTGCTTTTAATGTCCAAATAATTAGTTTACATTTGTAATCTACATCTATACTTACATTCTTTCTTTATATTTTAAAAGATTTTGATACATTGAGTATAAATTTATGATTTATACAAATCGATAAAATAATTAATTTTAAAAGCAATTCCGGACTACCCTTCAAATACTTTTTTATTCTTCATTTTCACATTATTATTAGACATGACTATTCTATTAAGACACTAAAGAACGTATGAAAGAAGCAAAAAGGTCCTTTTTTTCCGTGCGGAAATCTCCTCGGATACCACCTGTGGTTATGGTGCAAAAAGGTCATTAGACATAAATATTTACAATACGTGGCGCCTTACTAGTATAGTATCAGTGATCTTAAGTTTTATTTAAAAAAAAAAAGGTACGGTAACTGATAACGTACGGCCTTGTTTTAATGTAGCACATAATGAGTCACAAGGGTTCCATGGGTGGATGGTAACGATGGAAAACTCAGAAATGTTACCATTGGAGGGAAATGCTCCTAAAGGTAACTGTTTACCATAGCAAGCGATGTACCATTACTTCGATGCATAGTTATAGAAAAAACTCCAATGAGGTTTTTGTCACAGAGACGTGGTCGCTCACACTGGGCCTTATAAGGATTTTCAAAGTTACTCAAAGAGCAATGGAGAGGGCAATGCTTCGTTTTTCTGTGCGTGTTCGAATTAGCAATGAGGAGATTCACAGACGAACCAAGGTCACTGACATTGCCCGTAGAATTACCAAACTTAAGTGGCAGCAGGCGGGGCCATTGCTTGCAATAAGGACTGCCGATGGGGATAAGAAGTTCTTAAGTGGCGACCACATACAGGGAGACAGAGCAGGCCCTCTACAAGGTGGTCCGACGACCTGGTGAAGGTTACGGGAAGCCGTTGGGTGCGGGCAGTATAGGACCGGTTGTTGTGGACGGCCTTGAGGGAGTAGGAGCCATGTCCAGCAGTGGACGTCTTTCGGCTGAGATGATGATAATGATGATGAAGGTTGTAGTCCACTATACTTTTCTTTACGGTATGAGTATTACTGCTGCCTGATCTGCACTCTGTCTAATAAAAAATAAAAAAAAGAAGTGTAGTCTGTTACAAGTAATACACAAAAAAAGAACCTAAAAGTTCCTTAAAGGGTTTTAGTTATTCCCTTTCTAAATCTATTGAAACAGACAACTCACGTAAACGATAGCGTAACTTAAATAATTATTAATGGATAATTAAACAGTTTACTATTAAACCATTAATAACTAACGGAATAATCAGTATACATTTCATAATTATTCTACGAACCAACATAGCGAGAGATACGCTTTAATAAGAGATCAGTTCGCTCCGAGTATTCTTATCAAATCTGGAACTTAATTAAAGTCGACGTTCATTAACCGCGGTGGCCCGCGAACGAGCGCGGTAACTTTACGTAACAACTGTTATATAGTTCAACGAAAGGTTTATTTGTATCAGGTGTTTTTGATACAGGTACGTATTAAACTAGAGAAGATTTTTCATAGTATAACAATATATTTTACGTGATGTTTATGATGTTTGATTGTTCCTATGGAAACCCCCTCTTGTCTTCGCTTTACCATAGCTAAGATCTAAGTGATATAAGTTTTAAAGATGCCACCGAGAACCTCTGCAGTCGTTGACCAATTCTTAGTCGACAGGCGTACCCGCAATGAATTACGTCCTCGTAATTCACTGTCGGATCAGAAGTATCAACCCCTGCGGTTTTGAAATTCGCAAGCGGAACACGCCGCATCCTCTTGAGCGTACTTTACACCCGTTAACCTAAAGACCAATGTTCAAGAAGGGTACTAGGGTGCTAGGCGATTACTGAAACTCTCCTGTAGTCTATCCGCCTCTTGTTTAGTCAGGAAAGATAGAGTCCTCCTCGAGGGGATAGGCAAAAGTAACGATACTCTCGTTTTGACAGAAAACGTAATTTTGTTTCTTACAAGGTGCTCCTACAATTCA